TTCCCTTCCCTGCGGACCTCCACCGCGCGCGCGCGTGAAGGAGAGCGGCCGCGGCGATGGGGAAGGCGTCCAAGGGCTCGCGGAAGGGGAAGAAGGCGTGGCGCGCCAACATCCGCATCGACGACATCGACGACTTCTTCGAGAAGCAGACGCGCGATGCCCACGCGGGCGCCGCCGCCATCCCTTCCCTTCCTTCCGACTCACTCTTCTTTGTCGACAAGCCCGCCGCCTCCGCGTCGACTTCCGCCGCCGGCGCCTCGGACACAACCACCAAAGGTCACCTCCGTCACTTACGCCGCCACTAACTTCTTCCCCTCCCGCTTGGTTTCAGTTACAAAATTATCAAGGTAGTTCCTGATAGAGTATAAAGTTACATGATAAAGTTAAATTTCTTTTTAAGATGCAACATGGTAAACGTTACTTGTAAGAGTAACACATCCAAAGAATTCAGTATGATCGATGTGTCTGTTGTGCTACTGAATAGCGCAGTATCTGTTGTGATATTGTGATAACTTGCAATCTTCAAATTCTAGACCCTTGTGTGTAATACTTAACCAGGTCCCTTTAATCTTCATAACTAGGTGGTTTTGTAATTTTCACAGTAGCTTAGGATCGGAGTTTAAATAACATCTACTTGATTACTATTTCTGTTGCCACATCTTCTATCTATAACTTAATACTTTTCGGGCTAATTCATGCCCTGCCATAGCTGCAATTTTGGTTACTGTTTTCAGATATTCCTGTCAAAAGGAAGATCGAGAAGAAGAGGGAGAAGGTTCTTTACCATGAGAGTTTGTTGAAGCGGAATCCATTTGTGCAGCCAATCCCATCTTCTGTGGTGAGCAAGAAGGATAAGAAGAAGGCAAAGAAGAAGGAATTGCAGGAGACACAGGGAGAGAAAAGTGTCCTTATGGTATCTACCACATAAAATGATTATCTTGAGTTTATTTGTGCTGCTTGCTAAGTGACAAGATTGTTTATTTTTTTTCCACAGGAAGATGATTCTGTAGTAAAGAACTTTGACATCTGGGCTGGGGATGGTAAAAGTGATTCCAAGGCCAAAAAGGTGATGGAAGTCTCGTTAATACACACTACTGTTTGTATCTAAAAGCATGTAAATTTGCATTTGCAAAGTATACGGTGTTCTATGTATGGCATACAGATCTCTATTTTTGAAATGCTGAATTTGGTGGCATCTGCAATTTTCATATGGTCAAACTAAATGCGCGTTTTTGTATTTCTACTGGCAGAGATCTACTACATCAGTTATTCCTGCTGTTGAAGTTGAGCCTGCAGGATGTTCATTTAATCCTCCATTGGAAGCGCATCAAGTATGTGTTAACATTTATTTTCAGAAGTACCTGATATGGGCAATGTACTCTATTCCTGAGTAGTTAAAAATTGCTAGTAGATACTCCTATATTTTTCAATGATGACAGTAACAGCCTAATAGGAGGACCCTGCTGTTGCTTTTGTTAAAAGTGAAGTCAACTGACTCATGGGGTTTGTGTTGGTATTTGTAGGACTCTCTTGCTCAAGCTGTAGCAGACGAAAAGCGTAAAGAGTACATGAAAGAGTTGGGGCCAGCACCTGTACCACTCATAGTTCCTGGCGAAGCTATAACTGAAGAAGATGTACGTTTTATCTCTGACGCTTATACGGCTATTTTGCAATTTGGACATTGCCCTGTCCTACTAGAAGAGTAGAAGCCCCCTGTTTGTGATTCTAACTGCATGCCTATTTGGTTTGCATCTGTTGATTTTCTTTTCATAGGAATGCAGAAATCCATATTTATATTAATGTTTTTAGTGATTCACCAGGGTAAAAAGCATGTCCATTAACATATAGCATGAAAATGTGTTTCTTGTCATGTTCAGGTTGCTTCTGATGTTTACCTTTGAAAGGCTTGTTTGGCATCTTATTTATAAACTGTGTGCTTTGTGATGATAAATATTTTTCAGCGCAGTGTTTGACTAACCATATGTGGCTTGCAGAAATTCTTTCTTGATGCTGATGATGGAGATGAAGATGCTGCAGAAGAGGATGGAGATCAGGATGCTGATACTTTGGTTGGACAAAGGTTAGACCTGAAAATCTATGGTAGTACCTCGTTATGTGACATTGGTATTGTTTTGGCAATATAGACTGCACACATAATGCACCTTGGATGCTGGTTGCATTGCAATATGTTTACCAGAAGCCTGTATAGTAGTAACATAATTTTTTTTGACAAATCTGTGGACGTGATCATGTGTCCGAACTTAATTTTGAAAATATTGGTTCCCTTGGTTGAATAGTTTGACTTCTATTTAGCCCAAATATATCATGGTCTTGGACAGTGGTAATAGGCTACAGTAATTGTGCTGCCAAATTTTGACTTTGGTACATGGTACATCCATCATCAAAGCTTTCATGGGTATGACATGGTAATGATGGTTGTAAATTTTTTATATCAGTTTTTCTTTTGCATAGTTATTTATATGTTCTGCAAAGTGAATTGTTAATTTAGTATTTTGGAGATCTATACATAAAGCAAGGAATGCTCTTTGAGCGATTAACTAAACTTTAGAATTAACATTTGAAGTTTCTGAATGACCATGAAATTTTGGAATCTGATCTGTGGAGGGATCGTATGCATTCTTGGCCAAACATTCTGTTGGAAATGTTTAAATTTCAAGATATCCCCTTCACAAAAAAGTATTGGAGTCAAGATGTTTCGTATTGTGACCTATTTATATTTGAAGATCTTATTGTATTTTAAATTTTTGGTTTATTTCTTTTCAGGAAGAACAAAACAAAAAGAGTTACAAGAGTAGAACTGAACAAAAGAGCTCGCCGGAAGGAGAGGTTAAGAGCAGAAGTGGAAGCAAAGAAAATGGAAAATATTTCGAAAGAAATTGACTGGTAGGTGTGGTTATGTTCTTGGATCATTGAGGTTACTATAAATGTACTTAGCAAAACCGGAATTCTGTCATTACTTTTGCAGCTTGCCAAATATAATGGATGAGATAGCTAAAGAGGACAAGGAAAAGGAGAAGAGGCGCATACGGCGAACTGTGGTTAAAGAGGAGAGGCGTAAATCAGGCCCACCTCGTCTGGGCAGACACAAGTACATTTCTATGTTTCTATGTTTAACTAATTAGTTTTCCAATAATCATTCGTGATGAAAATGGCTATGATATACTAGATGCTTTGCAAATCACATCATCACACTAGTTACATTTAGTTGTATGATGGTAGATTATGGGGAATGTTGTGGCAAAGAAATATTTATCAAGCTATTGTCCTTGGTACACGTGTTGATTTTTTTAGTTTTATGATTATTGATTAATAATCACAAGACTCCAAATGTAACAGATTTGAACCAGCTCCTGTTCAAGTTCTATTGACAGAAGAGATTAGTGGCTCTCTTAGAAAGCTAAAGGTAACATCTGCTTCTTGTTTGTTGATTCTCTATTTTTTCTGAAATAGTTAACTATAAAATTTGTGTAGGGGTGTTGTAATCTTGCGAGGGATCGCTACAAGAGCATTGAGAAACGTGGAATACTTGCACCAAGCAAGAGAATAAGGTTCGCCTTTGTTTTTCCTCCAAAAGACTTGTTGACTTTGGGTTACTAGTTTTGAATATGCCATACTGACATGAAGGCTTACGTATTGTGATAGCCTTCTCGAACTATCGCTTTCAGCATGTGTCCATTTGTTTCGTTTTGTCATTTGTGTAGTTCCCCACTTGTACACACTTACTCAATATCCTGCATGGCTGTCTGATGGTTTTAGTGGTGTCTTGCCAGGGGTTTGCAGTAATGTCTTATGCAACTGGTCAATCTAGCAACTGCTCCCTTTATTTGCTATAAGTTGAATGATCATTTTCAATAAAACCTTTACAATTGATATTCACCTAAGTTTGTTGTCCACAAATCATTATTTTCTAAAAAAAACATTGCCTTAGGAAGTCATGTTAGCAAATTCTTAAGAACTTGTAAAGTTAGTCAATCTGTTGCACTCTGGATCTGAAGCTTTTCTTTTTCCTGTTAAGTTTCTCATATAACTTGAGATTGAGTTCACCCGTCTAGAACATTGTACTTTTATGCTACAATATAAGATGTATATAACCTACAAACTCATCCATGTGCAGCAAACATCGGTAGTGAAGTCAAGTTCCAGTTTGACGGATGATATGGCGATCTTAACCTTGACCCCAACAATATCGAGGGCAAGTCAGAGGGATTGAAGACTCGAAGAGGCTTTACTAGAATTGATAACGATAAGTCCCTGTTATAAGCAAAGAGCTTGTTTTGCGGCATTTACATCTCCCATTGCATGTTGTAGTACTTAACGGAGGTGACATGAATTCATGATAGTAGGAGGGCTTATTATTTGTGTTGATTCTGTTGATGCGGGCTGTTGCTACACAATCTCACTGTTGACGCTAGTTTCATAAGATCTGGTATGTACTCGTATACCTGAGCTGGCGTGGTTAGAATGAATACCACTATTAACTATTAATAGTACAGACAAGCTCGGACCTGTGTGGATAATTTCCGAATCCGACTGGCAAGGATATGGCATATGGGAAAGAATTTTATATGATGGGTAATTATACACACCCGTGGACGCGGTATATTATCCCATAGGTGAGTGGAATGGATACTTTCCGAATCCAACAACGGTGGATGTGGTATATTATCCACACCCTTGTATTACAATCCAATCAAAATTCGGAAAAGAAAAGTGGAAAGTTACTTCGATCCCATCTGCTCCGTTTTATCCCTACCTATGGGGAGGTTTATTGGAAAATTTTCACAACATGATTTAACATTTACTTTATTGGAAAATTTTCACATGATTTTAACATTACTTTTGTGAGCTAAAAGCAACTATAACTATATGAGCCAAACGGCACTGTACATGTTGCTCAGTTGCAATTCCCAAACAACAAACCAACCACCATGTTCACTACCATTTGGTGTAACCACTTTGCAGGCGAGGAACAAACATCTCTACATGAAGGGATCTGTGAAGGGATCGGCGTATCTCCGGAAGTAAGGGGTTGCCCTCTTCTCGTCGTGGACGAGCACTGAAGGGTCGTCGTCGTCGCCCGATGCCTCCCAGCGGGCAACATAGCCGTCCCAGGAGGAGCTTACGAGCGTTGGGTAGTATGGATGCCAGGCGCAGTCTCTGATGATCGAGCCATGCCACGAAAGCCTCTTGACAGTCTTCCCGCTTACCTGCACGAGCAGTAAAGTTCAGCCGGTTCAGAGCAAGGACCCAGGACAAACGGAGTATTTATGCTGAAAGATCAAACGTGTCCATGCACATGGGATATGCAGCTAATGCTGTATTCTTGTCATTTGTCAACCAAGGAACCCATAAGTCTCCATCTAGTTGTGTGTATGATCATAACCACATTAGGGGAAAATGGTTGGTTACCGACAGGGGCTAACCGAGATCATCATGATATTACTGTTTGTAGTTGATAATTGATAGTTAACACAATGCTGATGTAATGTAACTGGATATCCAAAAACTGTACCAGACTTCAGACTTCAGCAGGCTATCATTTGGAAAATATTAAATTTTACCACAAAATTAAAACATAAAAAGAGTAATTCAAGGAGAAGATGGAAGCAGCATACCACATCATAAATATGTACAGACTTGTCACTGGATCCTGTGTATATGTACCTCTGACCCGTGCTGAAACAGAAAACACAACAATGGATGAAAAAAAAAAGGCGTGCCTAAGTCAGAGAAGCTCCCGCTCTGCTGTGGGTGCAGGGAAAGGTGTTAGTGGCAAGCCTTACCCTCGCGCATGCAATGCGAGGAGATCATGACTCAAACCGGGACCTTCCGGTCACTGGTGGTAAGACTCTACCGCTTGCACCAGGCCCGCCCTTCTTAAACTTTGTGCATAAAGACTGCAACCAAGCCCACTAGAAACCAAGAGATGATAACATGTAATATTTGATCGATATTACCATTTTAGTAAATTATTTCCAAAATTCAATTTACATTGTTCCCTCTTAACATGCTATTCTAAGCAAGCAAGATAAACCATCGTTCGCATCATAGACTTAGCTGAATGTTCAACGAAAACTTAGCTGAATGATCTGATTAAGTGCACCTAAATTTATGAAATGCACATCATAGTCTTGGTGCATGATATTCAATTTTTGTACTAAATAAATGTGCTTCTAAATATCTGAATATCTTGTGCTGATATATATATGCCATGTTGACCTTATGTCACTGTTAATAAGGTGCAAATGTAATATAAAATTACTGAACTTTCGTGACTAAAGAGGAGCAACCAGCAGAAGACACCATGGTTTTTGTTGAATTATTCAACTCTGGCTCACAAGGGAAGAGTGAAAGAAACTCATCACTGGTAATTGTTTTAGATGTGTGATCTTAATCTGGCTCACGATCCTAACCTGCATACTAGTATCCAGATTACAGTTATGTCAACCCCATAATCTACTCAAGTCAATGGTCAACTTTCCACTAACAAATGTAACCTTTTGAAAGCAGTTCAAAGGAAATCCAGTACGCTGACGACATAAATAAAAATATCAGCTGTTCCTTCCTGACCTGTGCACAGGGGAGAAATAGCAACGGATAAGTGTTCGCAGAACTGAATGGCCTCTGTATGTGGCCACAGACTGATCATCTGGATGCTTAATATAGTGGGCTGCTGATGGAAATGGCATCCACCTGTAGTCCCAGTCCACTAGACTCACTGGGCGACTGTGAAATCAACAGAATCAAATTAAAAAGATAGAAATTAGTACCCACGAAAAAAGGAGGAGATGGAACTTAATTAACATTACATAATAGGATAATTTTGCCCTAAGACATTGCCCAAACTTTTTATTTCGGCCTGGCACTGTCAAAAAAAAATTATTTGCTAGAAGACACTAGGCAGTGTCCTACAATAAAGAATTTTTAATGTCCTATAGCAAATTTCACAGAAGCTTGGGGTCCAGTAGCAAAATTATCCTACATAATAAATGGCTATAAAGCAAGACCCTACGCTCTCACGACGGAAGACATTTTCCTGATGTCCCAAAGTTTGATTCTCTGATCCTTGCAATTGGAGATGAAATAGCGCCCATCACCACGACTATCGATAAATGTAACTCCATCTAAATGACCTGTCAAAGTACCTGCTGACTTTTCCCCTGAAAGGCAACGTCTGTCCCACACCTGAGGGTTATAATTCACAAATTTAGTCAGTGAAGGTAAAACTCTATACATAGACGATTAACGACGAATACATGAACGGATCGTCACAAAAGAAAATATATGGATGATCTAATAGGCAATTCACTGAAGTTGCTTTTGCTGTAGTTCCTCATAATTACCTCCTAGGATCTAGATGGTATGTCTCCAACTGCCATTTTAAAGTATTAAAACTTGTTTGCTTCAAGAAGTTTCATAGCCATACCATAAAGCAATGTTTTACCTATCACATATTCAGGTCTAATTATATTTATCATACAGAAAAATTGTGGTAGTTGTATGATCTATTAGATGAAACAGATGATTCCAATGAAGTAAGACCAAGGAAAGCAAAAAGGAATAAGAAACATTCAGACAATACTAACCTATGATCTATTAGATGAAATAGATGATTCTAATGAAGTAAGACCAAGGAAAGCAAAAGGGAATAAGAAACAATCAGACAATACTAACCTTACAGAAACTATCATCACTTCCAGAGTACAACACATTTCCACTTTCATCAGCGAAGGTAACAGCGTTGACATCAGCCTTAGAGAAAAAGTGGAAAATAAATTATCACAAAAAATGATTTTCCTAGCACAACCTGTACAAGAGATAAATATTTATTTACTTCTAGCTACAATATTCCAATCCTATGACATTAAACCGTATCATGAATTTATACCACCCAACTCAAGCATGGCTGTGGCTTTTCCATCATCAAGCAATAGAGTTTTGTACTTCCCAGTTTTCACAAGTTTCAACCACACCATGAAATTAGAAAAAAGTTGTCTTACAGGTAATCTATTAAATGATTAAGCAGTAATTGTACAATGGCTGTGGTTTGCCGATCTCTAGTCTACATAAATTGACTCCACTTGAAACTAGTTTTGTTTCACTTCGTCCTATTATATTTCCTTCTGAAGTGTGCAATCACTCTCTTGCATAAGGCACTAACATTGTATGCCATCATTAGAGAGTACTTCCAATTGACTCTATGGAATTCTTGAGCCACCAGACACGACTAATTATTTTTTCCCATCTGACGTGGAAAACAAACATAACAATGCATATAAAATAAGATAGTGTTCTCCTGTGTTTTTTGAGAAAAAAATAAGATAGTGTTAATCAGATGGTTACATACTTTATGAGCACGGATGCGGGCTGACACTTTATTTGTTGCAAGGTCATAAACATATATTGACCTTTCATTGTTCCCAACAACAATTTCTTTACCATCTTTTGAGAATTTAACAGAAAATATTCCAAAGTCCTCATCCTCATCACCACCAGTTAAATCCAATCCCTCATGAATTTCCTGCCGAACATGGATTACAAGCACATCAGTGACATTTTAAGAACGCAGCACGAGCATGAAGCTGAAGTTTTTAATAGATGACAACAGCTCAAAAAGGTTTGGGAATAGAGCATACAGTAATATTAGCATGTGATTCTTTTCCAGCACTCTGCACGTTCACAATGTGAACAGTAGGCGACAAACTTGCATAGGCCTGCAAAGTGATCAGATGCATCGATGAAAAAACTAGGCATGCCAAACATGAGACGCGACTTGGTGAACTTAACAGCACACCCTGTATACAAAATAGACCACAAGATAGGTCCCTTTCCAGGAAAAAGAAACAGTGCATATAAAATTGATTAAAAAATAAACTTCAAGTGGTAAACTAAAACAACAGGAATAAATTTCAAAAAAAAAAAACAGGAATATTCCAGAGCACCAAAGTTGCAGTCCGCTTGGGTGCCTATTTTCTTACTAATCTGAAATCACCTTATGGCAAGAGGAAATAAACATTGGTGTCAAGTAAGTGCTACTAATAAATTGTTGCAACTTTTTTAAATAGACATATTGACTACTTAACAGCAACCATCACACCCAGTTAAAGTTGTCGTTATAGCGATAAAATCTCCTGTACCTGGTGAAGATTCTTGTAAAAATGTAAGAAATTGCCGGAATTGCAAATCACAACCACCATATGTAGTAAATTTTGAAGAAGGAATACATACTAGGGATAAATGATTATACACAGAGAGACTGTAAGTTTGAAAGAAGGGTAAGGACCAGATATATGATAAGTCTTTATTTTTGTGTCAGTTCATTAAGAGAAGAAAGGCTACCAAATGTACAACACTAGTCACACAACACACCTAAGAGTCTAAGATACCAGAAACATCACAAAGCACTTAAGAGTTAACACCATGCGTGCCACACTTGAATTACATAACGACCACAATGCAAGGACAAGGCGCTCTAGAAAACCTCACGGAAGCCCTGAGCCCTGGCTGCACACTGTAGGTTTCCTTTCTCTACTGTCCCATACGATCAAGGATGCACATGGAGAAGCATTGTTAAAGACACAATCATTTTGATGTTCCCATAGCTCCCATGCTATTAGAATTCTCAATGAGCAGTTTAATATTAGGAGATTTTTGCTATACAGGCATCCAGTGAGTAAGCCATTGGCGGCCCTAGACACGCTGAACATGTTGCAAATCTGAAATCCATCTCACAGTCATATACAAAGACCATTAAATTTGTGGAAGGCTGAAGCCCTGTAATTTTGATACCAAAATTATGCCTTAGAAGAAGCTTTCGGAAATTTAACCTGGTAGAGGTTGCATCAAAATAGGTATCTTCTAGTCGGATCAAACACAGTGCAAAATGTGCTCCCAGAATAGCAGTAAGAGGTCCAGGATCCAGTCGAAAAGGAAAATTTGGTGCTCAAGATGCTTACAAGGAATCGTTGGTCAGGTGAGAGAGCAATGTCTGAAACCGTCCAGTGCACCATTCTGCAGCTTATATCCTTATGAATCTTCCACCCTTTCTCGGCGTCGTAGACTCTGATGCGGCTTCCCTTATAATCACATTTCCGCACACAGAATCGTCAGCCACTACGCAACTTTTCATGAGCAGAAGCACAAAGAACCAACAATGACCAAAACCATCCACTGTATCAGCAGCAAGACCGACCACCTACCCTAAACCCAGCGATGAGCAGCGATCCATCAGCGGAGAACTGCGAGACGTAGGCCTCGCTGTCCACGTCGTCGACGCCCCAGGGCCCCTTGGTGGGGATGTGCTGCCTTCCGAGGTAGGCTCGGTCGGCCGCGGAGAACCCGGCGCCGTCCGCGAGGCCGGCCTCCCTCGCCGACACCAGCTCGAACGCCGAGAAGGGCCTCTTCCGGAGCGCCGAAGCGGCGCCGTGGGTCCTGCGGCACGGCTCCGACGTGGTCCTGGTGAGGTGGGACATCTTGGCGCACAGCGTGAACCGCTCCACCTCCCGGTCCCGGTCCGCCGCCTTCCGGGACGATTCCCCGCGCGCGCTCCGCCGCACTCCTCGCATCCTGCCGTGAATGAAAGAACTGGTTCTTGCCGGAGCTTGGTGGAATTCGCGGCGGCGATTGCTCCTAGCAGCAGCAGGCGAGTCGGAGCACGGAGGGATCAGGTCAGTCCTGCAGAATCCCGCACTGAATTGCTGGAAAGGAACAAAAAATATCAGGCTGTGTTCTTCGCTCCCCTGAAAGCACAGCGAAAAAACCGAGCAATTGCAGAAACTGACAGCAGATTTTGTCCCCGGGAACTGGAACCATACCGGGGTGCGGGGCCTGGATTCCGCGGAGGCACGAGGGTGTTTGGTCGCTGGCCGCGGCTCCTTGGGAACCTGACTGAACTCGAGTCGAGAGCACCGGGATAGAGTAGAATGAGAAAGCCAGTGAATCTTAAACCCATTGATAAAAGAAAAAAAAAAGGAGATGGCACGCGGGACCCACGTCGCGTTGCGCAGTTGCGCTCTTGCGGTGACGGACGGGAGGGCCGGAGGAGCGCGCGGACACCTGGAGGCCGGCGGTGCGCGCGCGGGCGCCGGCCGTGCCAACGGCGCGTGGCGTGTGGCGTGACGTCAGGCCCCCGATAGTGAACGCTGAACGTGATTACGTGAACCCACCCCAACCGTCAACCGGGACAGGGTGTTTCGGTTTGTTGTTCTCACTGGGGACTCCGTGACAGCAGCATACCCAGCGATATGCACACCCACTCAATGACGCAGCCTCAAAAAAAATTAGGAGGCCAAAACAATATATGTTTTTTTATCTTTTCTTAATCTTAGTCCCTTCTACCTAATGTATATATACATAAAATTTTAAGAAAGGACTTAAGGGGGCTCCACGTGTCTAGGATCGGTAGGGGCTAGTTGCTAAACTCTTTAGTGTAGTTAGTCTTTGAGAGCTTATTAGTATGATTAGTGTGGCTCTTTAGTTAGTCTTTGAGAGCACACTAGCTTAGTGAGTAGCGACTTAGATTTTATGTGTACCTAGTGATCATAGCTACTAGAATTGTTGGTATAGGTGACTTGCAACCCTTGTAGAGTTAGAATAAAATTACATTACGTTGTTTGTTGTACTAATCAATTGCTCTAGTACTTTATAGAGTTTTTAAATAGGCTATTCACCCCCCTCTAGCCATATTAGGACCTTTCAGTATGTTGTAAGCGTTTTATATGGATGTTGCTCTAGCCCCACCGCTGGCTCCGTCACTGCACCCACTGCTAGCCGTCGGACGTCTCCGAAGCGACACCCGCGGCTGCAGTCCGTTTCCGCACACTCGTTTTGTGCGTCTATATGGGACCCGTCCTTGCGGCACACCCACGCGGGAGCCTGTGCCGTCTGGATGTCGTCCGCGCGAGGAGCGCTCATGCCCCTCTTTCTTCCCATGTGCAGTGCACATCCGATTTATTTTTAAAACATCCAGATATAACACTTGCAACATATAAAAGAAGACAGATGAAGCTCTTAAAACATATGTCTGAAACACCTAAAAACCATTGCAAAACATACGCAATATTCATATAAAACACTTACAACATACTAAAAGGTCCTAATATGGCTAGAGGGGGGTGAATAGCCTATTTAAAAACTCTATAAAGTACTAGAGCAATTGATTAGTACAACAAATAGCGTAATGCAATTTTGCTCTAACTCTACAAGGGTTGCAAGTCACCTATACCAATAATTCTAGTAGCTATGATCACTAGGTACACATAAAATCTAAGTCGCTACTCACTAAACTAGTGTGCTCTCAAAGACTAACTAAAGAGCCACACTAACCAAACTAATAAGCTCTTAAAGACTAACTACACTAAAGAGTTTAGCAACTAATTTGCAAGAAATATAAATGAGTGAGTAGAGTGATTATACTGTCGTGTCAAGAAATGAACCAATCACAATGTAAAGACAATCCAATCACCGGAAAGAATTCCAATCACACAAGAGACACAAGATTTTTCTCCCGAGGTTCACGTGCTTGTCGGCATGCTAATCCCCGTTGCGTCGACCAACACTTGGTGGTTCGGCGGCTAAAAGGTGTTGCACGAACCTCATCTAATAAATAGACACCGCAAGAACCTACCCACGAGTGAGATAGCTCAATGACATGCGTAATCCAATAGAGTACCTTTTGACTCTTCGTCGGGGAAAGGTCAAGAACACGCACAAGCAACCGATCGAGGTCAGAGACAATCACCAACTCCGCTCAATAATCCTCCAATCATCGGACCGTCTAGGTGTCGGTAAACACCAAGAGTAATAAGCTCACAACCAGCCAAAATTATCCAACTAGTGCCACAAGATGATGCAACTTAATGCAATGCACTAGAGGCTCACCAATCTCACTCAAATGATAAAATCAAGTGTGCAAGTGAGTGGATTGTGTTTGCTTGAGTCCCAAAAGGTGTGCACAAGTGTATGAAGTGCCAAGAGAGCGACCAAAGCCGACCACACCCTCTATTTATACCCACACAAGCAAAAAGAGTCGTTGGCCCTTTGGAGCTGCTGTCTGCGAGGTCACCGGACATGTCGGTGCCTTGCATCGGATAGGGGCGGTGACTTGCCTAAGGATCGAAAACCAACGGCTAGCCGTTGGGGCACCGAACAGGGTTGCGGTGACCACCAAGCCGAGCCTTGGAGAGACCAAGTCTCTAGAAAAATAGGGAGGTGCACCGCCGCACCCATGGCGGTGCCCCCTGCGCTTGCGCCCGTCTCTGGAGAAAAATAGTGGTGCACCGCCATCATCGTGGCGGTGACCACGACGGTGACCTCCTTCGCTTGCGCCAGCCTCTGGAATGAAATGGCGATGGCACCGGACAAGGCGGTGGTGCCCAGGGCGGTGCACCGCCGTGCACCTAGCGGTGAACATTGACACGTCCGGTGACCACCCCAGTGCAACTACTCCCGGTCAGGTCTAGGTGGGCACCGTCCTAGGGGTGACGGTGCCACCTAGGCACCTCCACTAGCTCTCCAAGTTGCAAACTTTTCATAGTTCGATCCACGGCAACTCGAGCTACTCCCCGCAAATGTTGCTAACTCTCAAAGTGTTTTCTCAAAACATGTTAGAGTCAGGTTAGCATTTCTCAAAAGTATTTAAAAAACCGCTTGCTCTCCGAAGTGCACTAGGCCTAAATGCAATGCATGAAGTCCAACACCTAGTGGCACTAGATGACCGAATTATCTAGTAGAGAACCTCTCTTAATTGTATGGCCATCTACCCTAAATGTGATCACACTCTCTATAGTATCTTGTGTCTTGATCACTAAAACAAAATCCTTATTTATACCTTTGCCTTGATCTCTATAGGGTTTTGTTTTTCTCTTTCTTATTTTTCAAGTTGAGCACTTATCATCATCACATGTGGCCATCTTTATTTCATGTGACCATCACCATCACTTGAATGCCACCATGCTCCACACTTGGTGTAACAACCCGGGTTTTTGGAGTAGCCAAAAATGTGAACTATTTAAAAATTTTCCTGCAATATGTGAAGCATATAGATGCTAGGTCAAACTAAGAACAATTTATAAATAAATTGTTGCATGCATATAGAATTACTTGTAGGAGTTTGCTGGAGTTCTTTTGTTGGTTTAGTGTTTTGTGTTGGAGAGCACAAGTCCGTAGCAAATCCTTTTGATCCCTTCTAGAATAACTTAAGAACCCTTTTTCATCTCTCCCAATTCACCTTCTTGCTTTTGAACCTCATTCGAATTCCTTGATCTAATCAGCCAACTATCTTTATCAACTCAATGCCCGTGAGTTGCCAACCTTTGACATGGACCCCACTACCCCTAGTTGACCTCTAGTGGACCCCACTAGGAGGTGTACATGTTGGCGACACATGTATACAATATAGGAGCCTTGGTTTATTTAGAAAATAGGAAATAGAAATAGAAAAGAAAGGAAATGGAAGAGGAAAATGGAAAAGCCATCTGGCCCAGCTTGTGGCCCGTCCATCTTTTTGGCCCACCAGCGCACAACAGGCCTAGCTCGCTTCCCCGTCCTCCTTGGTCCAGCTCGATCTGGCTCGCGCCCTCCTCTGCTGGCCCACGCTCGCAGCAGCTAGCCGACCTAACTCGCGCGACAAGCCCAGCTGCTCGGCCCAGCTGTGCGGAGGCCCGCTCAAGCGCGCATGACCAAGCAGCCCAGCAAGCCATGGCCCAGCCAGGCCAGCAGCCGCACGCCCCTCCAACCCTAGGGCGCACGCGCCCTGGCTCCCAGCCACCGCCGTTTTTCCCTTCATGTGCATGCTCCTGTACGGCTCTCGTCTCCGGGACCTGCGCGTCAGCCTCAAGTGAAGAAAGGAGGAAGCCGAGGATGTTGTTCCCTTCCGTCGCTCGACCGTCAGCCTCGCCGTTTTCGTCTTTCTTTCACCTACCCCTACCCGTCCCACGGATGGTGGCCGCGTGTCTATGAGCACGCGACCCCAACGATCGCCCTCGTCCCCTGGAAGCTCCCTGCCCTCGCGAACCCTAACGGACCGCCTATAAGAGCCGGACGCCGCCCTCGGCCTCGCCATCTCTCCCTATGGCCGCCGCCACCAAGCACATCTCTCCCTCCCTCGCCCGAGCCTCTCCTACAGCGACGCCGAGCCCTTGCGCCGTGCCCACGCGTCATGCGTCCGCCGTCGCCGCGCTCGTCGCGTCCACGCCAGCACGCGACGCCGTGCCCTTGCGCCGCGCCCACGCGTCATGCGTCTGCCGTTGCTGCGCTCATCGCGTCCATGCCAGCACGCGACGCCGCCCGTCCTCGCCATGACCTCGACCATGCGGACGGCGAACGCCGACGCACACCGCTGCGTCACCAAGTCTTCGCCGTCCAGGGGCCCTTCCTCGTCGCGCAGCCCGCGACCGCCGCGCTGGAGCGCCACCCACGATGAGCCGAGCACCAGAAGCGCTGCAGCACCGCCTCGCGACACCGGCCTGCTGACCTGCATCGCAGCGACCGCAAGCGCACGTCGACGCCCTTGCCGAACCGCATCGACCACGACAACGGCGCGTCCACGACTACGTCCTCGACCACATCCACCGGTGAGCCTTCCCCAAACCCTGCCCTTGTCTGATGCCTAGTCGCCTACCTGACCGGCCTTCGAGCCGCTAACCATGTCTGCCCGTGCACCGCTGGAGCACCGCCTCGTCCATGGCCGCGACCACGCCAAGCCCCGACCCTGTCCCGGCCTTCGACGCTGGCTTGACTCCGGATCTACCCCGCTCCAGGACATACATGCGCACTCACGAACACGGCCACGGCCTTGCCTTGCCGGGTCAATGGCGCCCAGGAACGCAGCCGGCCACCTGGAGCCTCAGCGCCGCTTTCCAGCCCTGCGTCGAGATCCGCCTTGATTCCATGCACCAAGCCCTTCCTGCACGCAGTGCTGCACGACCAAGGTACGACCATGCATCGGTGAGCTCATCCTTAGCCAAGCTCCACCCTCTTGGCCCCTCGATGGCATGTCGGCATGCCTGGCTGACTTGCCGCACAGACCTTGCCACCCATGGCCATCACACTGCCAGGAGCACCGCGCACCACTTGCCCATGTCACTAGCCACTGCCATCGCTTGACAAGGCCCTGCCTTGCCTCGGCGCCACGCCGTCGGTGAACCTCGTCGTGGCCATGACCACGCCCGCGCACACACCACCTTGCCCTCATGTCCACGGCATGGCACCGCCATCATGGCCTCACCATGGTGAGCTCAGCCGACCCCTACACCTTTGTGACCCCGGACCCTGCCACCACACTCACGACCATGGCCACCGCTCGGACGCATGCACACACAGACCCAAAGGCCGACCTTGGCCACGCTGGCACTCATGCACTGAACAGTGTCACGACGAGCCAAGCGCGCACTGTGTCCGTGCCCCCAGGCTCTTCGGTCAAGCACCGCTGGGCGCGGTCGCGAGCTGCTCACCCAAGGCCTCGGAGAACGTCTCGCATGACACCATCACCGCGGACGCGCGTGTCGCAAGTAGCCCCAGCCTAGACCCTGCCTTGCTGAGTGGCTTGCGGGAAAGCACCAAGGCCAGCCGGCCCAATGCTCAGCACCGACTCCCTCTTGGGCCGACTGCAGCAGCTACAACATCGGCCCAGTGGCCCTGTGCTGGCCCTCTCTCTCTTCCTTGTAGTTGGGCCGACAAACAGGCCGGCCTGCCTTCCTCTTCGCATAAGCCAAGCCCAGCAGCAGCCCAGTGGTGGCCCAGTAGAAACCGTGGCCTCCCTCTTCTTTTTTAGGAATGGATTTAATCTCCGAAATTCGTAGAAAATTCATACGTTGTTGAAAAATTATGAAACTAGTTTCATATTTTTTCTAAAGACGAGCACCACGTTGATGATCTCTCCGACCACCTCGGCAACCTTTCCGACCACATTGGCAACCTTCCTGACCACTTCAGCAATCTCACCGACCACGTTGATGATCACTCCAACCACCTCTGCGATCTCACCGACCACGTCGGCGAAGCTCTCCGACCACCTCGGCCAGCTTTCCGACCACGATGGTGATCTCACCGACCACCTCGGTGACATCTCCGACCACTGACGAAAGCCCCTTCCTGCTCATTCTTATACTCGTTCGTCCACTTACAATACATGATCTTGATCTATCTATATCTATCTTCACCATGCCCTTGTGCAGGTCTGCCTATCCCCAACTATGGAATGTGCTACTCCGCAGTCGTGTCGAGTTGTCACGTCTTTCGGTTGTGTGTGGTTCTTATCGCTGGTTGTTGGTGTTGTTGCCTATATGCCGAGCCTTCGAGCAGGCTGAGGGATCGTACCTCGTTCGAACGTTACGATCGCGGGATCCGTCTCGCCATGACCGTGATGCCGAGTGTAACTCAACCCGTCGCTTTTAGTTGGCTTCATAGTACCACGAGTGCTAGCTCCTACCTTCGGCCCTAGAACATGGTCGTGATGGATTCGATGTCGATACTAACATCGATGCGGATATCACCCACACGCCTTGAGCCCTCCATGACCAAGTCCTGTGGGAGATGACCTAGAGATAACAATCGTGGAATGATGGGTGCCAACCCGTTGGTATAGCTTATGGCCGGGAGTTCGCCTCGCCATGACCATGGAGTTACGCCACTCTTTTACTTTTACTTGCCTCTTCGTGCACAAACCCCCGTATGCTTGTACCTTGTATGACCATCGCATTTCCTTGATTCCCACGGTGACAACCGCACCGCTATGAATTAGATAGATGTCTTAGTGCCAGTGCACCTAAGTCGGGTACCCTATGAGTGGTTTGTGCACTTGTACTCTTTAGTGAGTCGCTCCTTCCGATGCCTTGTCTTCTGTCGTGGCGTGTGGGTTGGAAGGAGCAGACCTCAGTTCCTTGCTGTCATTGCCCTATTAGCCGCTCTGTTTGATCTCGCCTGATCCATGGCGATTGGATCAAAGACCGAACTATCTCTTTTTGGTTAGCGAAGCTATGGTCTATGTCGTACCTCGGACCCATGCGTGTCGACTCGATCGACCGTCTAAAACCATCTTTCCCGAAGATGTGTCTGAGAACATGACATGGATGTGCCTAGCTAATCCCCGCATCTTTTACCGTGTTGAGCGACTCTTTTCTCGGCTCCTGATGTTATTATGTCGTGTGGATCGAGAGGACCCGTTGTTGTCCAATCTCTTTGCGCTACCGCATTCTACCATAGCGGACGAGCCAAAGTACATTGGAGCCAAGTCACAATAGTGTTATTCGTTCTTGTCCACTTCTTGCATCCAATGGTGACTTGCGGGATAAGGCTATAAGAGCCGAACCCCGTCGTTCTTCTTTCTTGGGGACCGACTTCCAATCCCCGTCAATTCAATGACATCGGATCGAAAGATCATGAGCTATGGTGTTTGCTCTAGATAAGCTCTGGCTTAAACCATTTATCGTAAAGTCATACTGGCTTGGCCATGACTTAAGCTTGTGCTTAGCAAACCACCACTTGTGATTCTTTGGCCCGAGGAAATCGGACAACCGCCGAGAGGGCTAAGTCGTGTATCTCTTATTGCCTCGCTGGTGTTATTGGATTTTCCTACGTCTTGTCGTCTTTTCGAGTGTTGAGTGCTCTCATGCCTTGCGTGTCGCTTCGTGGAGTAGCTGATGATCGGACCAAGAGAACGTGGACGACAACAAGGACTATGGAATAGAGTCAACGCAGGAGGAGGTGACCCCGCTAATGGAACACCAATGAATGGAGAATTGTACCACTACTACCGCTACATCGCAGGTGTCATGGCAGCACCCTTTTTTAGAGAATCCTATTAGACATTGCATAATATCTAGAACTGCTAGTGCTTTATAATTATTCCTTTGATAGTACTTTGATGCATGCTACTACCTGAGCCATTATTACCCTGATGCAACCCACTCTACCAAGTCACCCTGCTTTGCGCATTCGCTCGTTCATATATGCTTACTTGCCTGCTTGCTTGCATATTACACCACTATACTTATTAATAACTCCACTTCGCATTATATCGGGGATGTGATGCTGGTGGTGAACCCCCTGGGAATGATTTGGCTATGGGTGCCAAACTTGGTGGTGTGTGAGCGTGCTGCGTGTGTCTTGGGTGCGTGGAGAGTGAGGGTTGTGTCGACCGAGCTGGAATAACGACGAGCTTGGGGTGAGTCTTGCCATGTGGTGCTACCTGGGCACTTGGATATAGGATACCTGTGGCGGGTAAATGGTAATTGGAGGTGGCCTTGGGTGTGAACCTTGGAGAGGTGGAGCTCGGGGTAGAGGTGCTGTGGTGGCACATAAAATGGAAACCCTGATGAAGACATTCTGGCTTGGTCATCCCTAAGGACTTACTAGTACTCAGACTCACCAGGAATCCTTTACATCCCACTCGCCCTATATGGTGCGGGACGGTCGGACTACTTGGTAGAGCGATGCCACTACTGCTAGGCGAACGTGTGCAAGGAGGTACGGGGTGCGCAGTTCCCCCCCCCACACCCTTCCGAGACTTCATGAGGCCTTGTGGACCGGCTCTTGACATCCGGTGGGCCCCGGCTCTGTCTACGACTCACAGTATCAGCCATCCCAGATTAGACTTGGGATGTTCCAGGGCTGAGAGGTAGGGTGGCATCGTTCTAGGCTAGCAAGCGGCCGGAATCTGCCTAGACGGGGCACCGTCGAGGATGGCTATCTTGTGGGTATGTAAAACCTCTGCAGAGTGTATGGTTGATCGATCGATACATATGCCGACTTGTCGGCTATGGACCTTTCCTGGGTTTCGCTTAAACTAGATAGGAGATGAGTCCTTCTATTCTCCCTCCAGGGTTTGGGGTATTTTCTGGTCGTGAGCCTTGGGGGCTGCGGACCGTTGAGACAAGGCCGAGAGGGAGTTGGCCTGTCGACCTGAGTGTGTGAGATGAGATAAGGTGTGGTGGTGTGGAGATGGTTTGGGATGGATGGTTGGTGGATGGATATGGATGGATGTGGATGTGTGTGGCTGGGAATGTGTTAAAAACTGGACATTATTATTACATTACTACTGTTACTTACTTCTCATGCGCTAAGGATGCAAACCACAGCTAAATGTTAGGATCGCCAGATCCTCTTGTTTTATCTTTTCCACTAAAGCTCATCGGTGCTGACCATGGCCTGCACACATCTGGCGGTGTGCAGATTTCCTGCTTCCCAGAGATGCTGACTATAGAAGGATTAGGAGGTCTCGTGCCTACGCTCAAGTTTGGATCGGAGAAGGAATTTACGCTGCACTACGCCAACTCTGATGATGCCCGTGAAGGAGGAGCCTTCACTCGATAGTCTTTCGCTAGATTAACTCTGTAATAGGTGTGTTTTCCCAGTGATGTAATATCTTGTATTCTTGTAATCTTACGATGTATGACTATGCTATCGACTGATATATGATAATATGATGGAATCAACTATTGGTTTCATCATATTATAATTCATTCTGTGGATTTTCCCTTCGTGGAAAATTGAGGATGTTTCACTTGGATGTACCAATCTACCTCTCACATCACTTAGATAATAAGGTTAGTACATATGTTTCATCAATTATCCAAAACCAAACTAGGGCTTTCAATCTCCCCTTTTTGGTAATTGATGACAACCCTTTCACAAAGATAATGAAATTTTCTTAGATTCATGTTGCTTGCCCATGCATATTACCATGTGAAAAGGTTATGGACAAGTTTCATAAACCCAATTTGGTAGCATTGGCTCCCCCTACATATGTGCTAAGAGTTTGGATTTAAAAGCTTGCACATATGCATTGATTAGAAATGTGGGAGAGTAATGCCTACCAAATGATGCTAAGGTATAAAGAATGGACCTTTGAAGCGTGATATCAATCGGAGTTGTCATTTGAACACCATCCTTGTAACACCCTCGGTGTTAAGCCTGCACTTAACCTTGACCTTGCATGATCACAATCATCATTGAGCATTCATGATCATAAGCATATCATGTATTCCATCTTGGTTTGCTTATATTGCATATGATGTTACTTAATTACCTTACTTAAGTTAGGGTTTACATGGAGCCAATGTATGAAATGTGTGGGTGACCTTGTGAATGCTTTAAACATGTTTAGAATAGCATAAGAAACCACTTTGGTATTCATGACTAAGTCTTGTTTAGTCTCTAAGTCATGGATATGGTGTATGACATTATTTTAAAGTGCCATGTTTGACCTAGTTTGAAT